TTCATTCATTCATTCATTCATTCATTCATTCATTCATTCATTCATTCATTCATTCATTCATTCATTCCTACCTGGATTACTGAGCTGCATCAGGACACTTCAGAAGGTTTTTATATACAGTATATTTGGACGGACCTGCAGTACCACCGTCCCGCCGCGGAGTGGCGCTAGCAGCAGAGGGCGCAGGCGCAGAAAAACGGAAGTTGTTCTGTTTATGTGATTCTACTTCCTGTTAGTTCCTGTTGTCCCGTGTTGTCCTGAGTTCCACTGGTTCTTCTGCTGCAGACGCTTGATTTATGTCCGCTGCTCCGATTAACGAGCCTGGAAGTTCTGCCGCTCCGCGAACCGAACCCTGGACCCAGTTCGTTCGGGCCCGGAGAGCCTGCCCTCATCATGGCCAGTGAGACCGCCGGGAACGAGGAGGACACCGGAGCTGCGGCGGAATCAAACGAGCACGACTACGCTGCGGACGGTGCGCTCTCGGCACCGGAACCGACCTTCTGCGCCCCGCTGTGCCCCTCCACGCCTCACCCGCAGGAGCTCCAGCTTCCAGAACCCACCGTGTGTTCGGAGGTGGAGGTCCAGATAGAGGTCCCCGACGAACCGAGCGCGGTCCCGCCCCTGACCCCGCCGCCTCCCCCGGGGGCCCGTCGCGTCCGGCAGCCCCGGCGGCCCCGGCAGCCCTGCCGGACCCCGGAGGACAAGAGCTGCTCCTGCTGCCGGCTGCTGTTCCAGCGGCAGGGCCGCTCCTTCAACCGCAGGGCCGTGTACACCTTCACCACCCCGGACACCGTGCACTGGGTCTTCCCGAGCTCCGAAGTGACCGACAAGTCGTTCCTGTGTGAGACCTGCGCCCAGGTGATCCGGACCAAAGGGAAGCGCAAAGTGTGCGGGAAGAGGTCCCTGTGGCTCAAGCCTGCGACGCCCCAAAAGGTCCGTACGACCAGATCCGGTCTGCTGGGCCAGGTCCAGTAAGGTCTGCTTAGATTAGTGTGGCTTTGATTTAACCAGATTTAAACAAAAACTGGGTTAAAGAAATACAAACAAAGTGCAGGAAGAGAAATAAAAGAATGAGGTGCGGTTTGTAAAGTTACACAGTCAAAAACTTTTATAAGAAAAAAATAACTTTTATTTTTCAGTCAGTTTTTCACCATATGATTCATACATTTATAAATGTCATAGTTTATAAACTAAATGTTTAACTTTCTAATTAAATATTTAGTTAACAAGCTAAATATTTAACTTGTGACCTAAATATTTAAATTGCTAGCTAAATATTTAATTAGAAAGTTAAATATTTAGCTTGTTAACTAAATATTTAATTAGAAAG